CACACACACACACAGGCAGAAACACAGAAAGAATAAATCAACACGTAATATGCAACACATAATCCATGATCCTTAAGTTCATGGATTTTTGCTTGGCACACAATCTTCCATTTGTATTGTAATAACCTTCCAAGGTTGGAAAAGTATTTAAAGCAGCAGATTTATCTTAGTATCCACAAATATGGATGAAAGTTGGACATTGTAGTGTCAGTCCTGTTTGATGTAACGTTCATGGGCACACACAATATGTACACACCAGTACATTTGTGCTCTTCTACGTCAAAGTCAAGGTTCATGTGTGTTTTTTAAAACTGGGACAAAAGTCAGGAGGACAGAAAGGGTGTAATGTGCAGGTTCAGACTCGGTGGTGTCGATGGTTACACACATGGTTTGTAGGAGAGAAGTGAAGTTGTTCCTGCTGCCATAATGTTATATATAACTCATTTTACACTGTACATGGACACACGCTTGTTTTAAACGATAAACACTTTGGACTGCAGCTTTGCATAAATAGCATTTTATATAAAATAACTGATAAATACATGTTTATTTATTGGAAGTGTCTGTTTAAGCCTCCCTACCCACGGATATGCAGAGGATGTCGGCCTGCAGCTGCATCAGTAACCTGTTGGACGTCATGCCTCCGTCCACCTGCAGCTGCGTCAGATGAACGCCGCTGTCCTGGTTCATCGCATCAAGGATCTGAAAGATACACACAATGTGCCACTTTAACACAAACCGATATCTTGCTGACATAAAGTTGGTGCTTTTCTATTTCCAGTGTTTTAATTTCTATGAAGGGATCACATGCTTCTCAGTCAGTTGCAGAAATGATATCATCATTAATCATATTTGTTTCCTTAGAAAACGGGCGTGAAACACATCGTCACACAGATGAATCTACAGGGTGGTTTTGTAAGACAATGGGTGTAGATCTCTGCACTTCCAAGGAAGGCTGCTCACTGCGTTTACCTGTGGTCAAACTCAGAGACAAGCCTCTGTAATGATTCATGCAGAAACCATGTTTTTCTGGAAAGCTGTAGGAGGTTCATGCAGCTCGCAATATTCTTTGCTTTGAGTGAGTCGTTGTTTCCCTGAATCCCTCCAGAATCATAAAGTCACACATTTATGATTTAAAAAGGTTGAAATAAACCGGACCACTTTCTGTGGTATCACGTAATGTATCTGCAGTCAGCTGTTGCTACATGTGCTTTCCTCCCCCAAAGCAAGAAGCAGAGAGCAGACACGGCTCACCTCTCTGGTCTGAAAGCAGACGGCTTCAAGGGCAGCAAAAGCCAAGTGGTTCCTGTTGGTGAACTGAGTGAGCCCACAGATGATGCTGGAAAACAATGAGCAGAAACAGTCTGAATAAACATTACAATGAGTCTTCTAATGTGTATCTTCATGCTTTCACTCGATTGACCTGTCTCTGAGGAAGACACTAAGAGTCTATACAAGAAAACAAACAATCAAAGCGTCACATCCTTTTGTCCTCATTTCAGGGTCAAGTTACAGTTGATGGGTCAGACATGTGTTTTAACAGCTGACTGTCTCACCCTCTTGCACTGGGCTCCCAGTAGGGGGCATAGAGCCCCGAGAAAGCCGGCACAAAGTAACAGCCGTAAGACGAGCCTGCTGCTGCTGCTAGTGTCTCTGAGGTAAGACGAGGGAGAAAACACAAGAGGAAGAGT